TGCAAGTAAGTTACACATGATGACTGCCGAAAGAGTGGTTAGGTATCTTAAAGGAACTCTAACCTATGACATCAGATTTAGAAAAAGTCGAAATTTCAAACTCTGTGGATATTCTGATAGTGATTGGGACAGGTCAACTAGTGATATGAAAAACACGTCTGGTTATTGCTTCACTTTTGGATCAGAGTGTTTCTCATGGTGCTCAAGGAAGTAGGAAATAGTAGCACAATCAACAACCGAAGCAGAATTCATCACAACAACAACTACTATTAATCAAGCACTATGGCTTAGGAAAATTTTGATCGGTTTGGAGCTGGAGCAAGAAGAAAGCACTGAGATCCTTGTGGATAATCAAGCTTCCATAGCCATATCCAAAGATCTCATGTTTCATGGAAGGACAAAGCACTTCAACATCAAGTTTTAAATATTGAGAGAAGTGCAGAAAAATGTGAAGTGGTTTTACTCTATTGCAAATCAGAGAATCTAGTGGCGGACATTTTTACAAAGTCATTCCATGTTAGCAGATTCAAATTTCTTAGAGAAAAGTTGGGAGTTTGCAGCTTCTGATTCAGGAGGAGAATGTTGTTACGTGTCTCAAAATATGCTTTTAATGGGTCAAAGGCTTCAACTTATTGTTATGAGATTAGTTTTCTTTTAGTCAATATCCTAATAACTAGTTATAGTTGTTCCTATTTTATAGGCATGTTAGCAGTCTTTTAGCAGTCTATGTTCTGTTTCAGTTGTACTGCTCCTTTACTTATTTAATCAGCTTGAAGTTCAATAAACGTTGTTCTTCCGATTTTCAATTCATCTTGCTGTTTCTGTTTATTTTATTAACAATGTAGTTCCTCAAGCATAGAAATTATACCATCCAGTGCGGCTCAAGGAAGCCTTAATTGTCTTGGGAACAATGACAAAGTCTAGAGAAACAATCAGAGATCTATACATAGCGGATAAATGGCCTTAGAAAACAAAAATAACAATGAAATAAGTGGATTTGCAATTATGTGTACCTTTGTGAATAGCAATAGGGAGGCTAAGATCTTTTAGAGGATCAGACGGATGATGATTTGATGACAAAGGGACAGGTGCATGACATGTATCATTTGCCTCTCACCTCTTCGAGTAAACTTGTACAACCGGTGGTCTTGCTACCAGTTATAGGGATGATAACATGGCTTATTTTAAGAATTGTTCTATTATATTCATAGATATATTGTAACAGTCAAATTTGCTGCAACAAATAATATATTTCCACGATTGTATAACTATTGCTAGATAACCATTGCAGTGGGTCAAATTTCTAGTAGTGAGTAGTCCATTAGGGTACTTATAAATGATAATTTAGAAATAGCAAAATCGATTTTATTTATAATTTTGATAACCAAGTTGAGAAATAATGGAGGCCCATCTGTTAGGATGACGATCGATATGTGGCACCACAACACGTGTTGCAATCACAATGGAGCTCGCATCTCAGACAATTTCTTCTAACAATCTATTTCTTACTGTGGAAGGGTATTGCGGTTGCATCTCTTGATGTGACCTTGAACCTTTACCACTTCAATGAGATAAAACCTTTTGTCAAAATAGGCTTGTTTGTGGCATGCTAGTTGCGACAACGTACACTAACTTGCGGCAATGCATCCCTTTTGTAGGGTCAGTGTCACATTTCAAGTGTTTCAATTACATTTTCATTTGTTTTGAACTAGCCAAATCACATGTTTGCTTGCTAACTATTGTGCAGATATACCTCCACTCAAAATCATCGTTACCAAGCGTGTAGAATAGAGTGACTCCTGTAATACATGGCGACGCTAAAAGGTTGAGAAATATCGAAGGGACTAAAGAGCGGGAGGGTAATACCTCTGCAAGTGCCACTCCTCCTGCACCAGTAGACACCAAATAGCAAAGGGAAAATGCTATAGGCTTCCCTGCAAATGAGATTCGGGCGTCATACTTGCTCAAGAGGGGCCTTATTGCTGAGTGGTGACTTAGCACCTGAGGGTTATTTGATTCTGGAGTAGATCAACCGTTAGGGGCGGGGGGGGGGGGGGCGGGGGGGCGGTGGAAAACATTCACAGAAGAGCCCGACATGCTTAGTACTGGCATATTCCAAGAATTCTATGCATATATAAGGGCAGAGATAGGTGTAGACACATGATTTTTTATCCTTCATGAGTTTCAACCCATTTTTCAAATTTAGATATCTATTTTCAAAGCTAATCTTTATTTTAATTTTTGTTTCATTTTAACGTCGATCTTACTTGAGAAAATTTAAAAACACACAAAAAAATAGTCTTTTTTTTAGATAATGCTTTTACTTATATTTTTTTATCTACAAGGAAAAAGAAAAGTTACCAAAATATATATTTTTAAAAAAGTTTCTTATATGTAATATTTAGCTGCTATTTTATTCTTGAATATTTTCAAATTAAAAATCAAAAACATCAAATTTAATAACATGTTACCACATGTTGAATTTCATCTTAATTTTTTATCGAAAGCATGTTCCATTTAGGAAGGAGAATATTTCACTCGTGCTCTCCATTTTTTTAAAATTTTTTATCCAAAATTCATATAAGGATATTTGAAGAAGATTAGACCTAAAAAGAAATAGACCATACTACCCCTAAATCTAGTCTATAAAATCACCTAAAAAAAGATCAACCACAACAACTAGAGAAAAAGGAAAAAATATTAGCTAAAAGAGGAAAAAGAGATCCCCAAGTTCAGTTGGTCTCAAAATCAGATGTAAGTATTCAATTACTACTATGCATGTCTGATTGTAATTTTACTTAAGGTTTTATGACTGATCAAGTGAGATGGTTATTTGATTTTATTGGTTATGGGTTTCTCATTTACATCACCAAGTTGTGATTTTTTTTTTTTTTTTTATAATCACTATAGAATGTTTCCGTTTACATCACTAGGTGTGTTGACCTTTTGTTTCATTTATTCCTTTATTTTTTCTTTACGAGACCTAATAAATAGCATATAAAAATATTATAGATTAATTCAAGATTCGTTGCAAAAATTAAAGAAAAGAGTGATAAAGGACACAGTTAATTGTCTTGATTTAGTATAATAATTAATCTCAGAAATTTTAAGCTCTAAGCAAGAGAGTGCATAATTTATTCTCTTAACCAATGCTTTTGTGATTCAACAAAATTCTCTAGCCCATTTTATTGGTATCAAACTATTCTTTTTGCCATGTTAGATAGAAACTTAAATTGTTGAAGTCTTAATTATAAATGTTGTTTCAAATTCCTTATGTTAGTGCTCTTTTTAGTAAAGGTTGGAGCATTGCCCATCTATTTATTAAAAAAAATCTATCCAAAAAACAAGCCCAACAAACGTGACCCAAAAAGAAACAAGAAAGTAACAGAAAATAGAGTAATGAAAAAGGCAGGATGAATTGAGAAGCTTCAGTCCTCATATTCACGTCTTCCTCTCCGATTTCGGTGAGGCATTTTTAGCAGCGACAATGATGTAAGGTTGAGGAGCTTGAGGGACATCCACCGGAACACTTAATCTCTCACAAGTGCCATGGATTCATCCTCTTTAAAGAATTCTTCAGCTCCAAAATGAACATCAGTCACCGTTGAAGTGTAAGGCTCCAACCTGAGCTTAATCACCTGATCAATTTCCTATGATGAATATTAACTCATGTCCTTGCCTGGTGCAGATTGAGCTCCAAAGAGACTAATACCACTATCTCAATCCATGGATAAGGGACGAACATCCATCATCGAAGGGATTAGGCATAAGTGGCAATGTATTAGGCATTCCTATGAGCCAAAGGAACTTGTGAGTAGCCATCAATTAAATATTAGTGCTTTTCATTTTGTTTTATTTATTATCTCTTTTTATGTTCAGGTTTGAGAAGAAAAAGAGAGTGAGAAATTAGTGCAAGCCTTGTTCAGAAAACTAAAAACAAGAGTTGATAGCTAAGATCAATATCGGTGAGGGTATGCATATAGAGTCTTCATATATCGAGGAAAACTTTCAATTATCACTATCATCATCGGGTTTGTCTTGAGCTATTCTTTTATATGTAAATAAATTTTACAGATAAGTTGATAAGTCTTAATGCTCCCAGATGTTTTGATGATCTCCTCACAAATGCAGGAACCTGGTCCTCTGCAGAGTACGCTCGTCAAGGTCTATGTGCTATACAACTGGAAAACTGTTGCGTCAGAAGTTGGTGAGGTCGTTAGTGTACGACACCAATCAGAATGGACGAGGTTGTTTGTCCAGCGGTTAATAATTCTTTATGACTGATATATTCAACATTACAAACAACAAATCACTCATTCATTCAAAGAGAGAATATTCAAGCTTCAACAAAATAGCAAGGGACCTCATAGACTGACAAATTTCTTCCTGAACCTGTTGTTATTTTGATTGCTTGTATTTGTGTTTACATTGTAGGATTCGTTTCACTTGTGTTAGAAATGTTTCAAAACTTGGGTGAATCACTGTAAGAACTTAGTTGAGAGCAACTTTGTGTCCTATGATAAAAGTCTATATTAATCAATGCGGGTTAGTATAGTGGGCAATGCAGACATTGCTTTGGCTCGTTGAATAATAGTTGTATTACTCATAATAGAGATTATGAGGTTAATCTCTTGCATGTTTTAAACCGTGTTTTACTTTTGCTTGAGAAGATTAGTAAAAACAGTTTGAAAATCCTGTGAGACAGGTCGTGATTTTACTCCCTTGTGCAAAGAGGTTTCCACGTAAAGTTGTGTGTGTTATCTTTACTCTTAGTATCTTTTGTTGTTTATCTTAACTGTGTTAAGGACCTGGTCGTATCATAACTAATGGACGCATACATTCCAACAAGTGGTATCAGAGCTTGAATTTTCTATTTGGGTAATACCAAGAAAAGAAAAGATCCTGAAGGGATGACTGCTCCACCGAGCCTGGTCGAAGGTCCGTCCACCACTAGACCACCTCGCTTCAATGGGCAATTTTATGGATGGTAGAAGACACGCATGTATGACTACATCAATGCTGAAGATACCGAGCTGTGGGATGTGATCCTTGATGGGCCATATATTCCCACCAAAGATGTAGTGGATGGAGAACTCACCAAGGTGATTCCCAAAACCAGAAGGGAATACAATGAAGCTGACAGGAAAAAGATAGAAAAGAACTATAAAGCAAAAAAGTTGCTAGTATGTGGGATTGGTCCAGATGAGTACAACAAAATCTCTACGTGTGAGACGACTAAAGAAATATGGGACTGTCTCAAAACAACTCATGAAGGAATGACACAAGTAAATGAGTCTAAGGTAGATATTCTAACCACTCAATATGAGAATTTCAGTATGAAGAAAGGTGAAACCATCAACGAGATGCGTAGAAGGTTCACTTCCATTACCAACGAACTAAGATGTCTTGGTGAGCCTATTCACCCAAGCAAACAAGTTTGAAAAATTCTCAGGGTGCTTCCCAAGTCATGGAAGAGCAAAGTGAATTCTATCACTGAAGCAAGAAATTTGAAGGTACTCACTATGGATGATTTGATTGGAAACCTTCAAACCTACGAGCTGAACAGGCAACAGGGGTCAACCGTGAAGGAAGGAAAGAAGGAGAAATCAGTGGCTTTGAGGACGTCTCTGAATGATGGGTCAGAAGAGGAAGATGAGATGACATACCTCACTAGAAGGTTCAAGAAGATAATCAAGAATCATGGAGGGTTCCAAAAGAAATGGGGTCTATCAGCAGAGCAACAAATGCAAATGATCTTTGCCACAAATGTGGGAAGCCTGGTCATTTCATGAGGGACTGTCAAAGCCAGAAGCAGAAACTCAGGACTTCAAACTTCATAGAAGGTACCAAGTCCCAGACCATGCTAGAAGAAAGGCTCACGCTGATCAAGTAGTGAAGAAATCCTTTGCAGTCTATGGAAATGGTTCCAGTGAATCCGAGGAAGAAGAAGATAATCATGAAAATGTCTCAATGATGGCCGTCAAAGATGACGAAACTGTGTTCAACTCCATTGTCTCACTGATGGAAAAATCAAACGATGAAGAGAATCAATATGAGGTAACCCTTTTTTATCTCAAAAGTGATCTAGATACTTTATCCATTAAAAGATTAAGAAAACTTGTTACAGTGCTAATTGACTCAGTAGATGAATTAACCACTGAGAATATGATAATAAGTGAAAAACTGAGTCTGTGTGAGGATGAAAGCGCAACCCCTAACTCTCAAATGTCTGCAATGAGTGTTAGGATAAATATTATAGAAACTAAGAATATGCTGCCTAATGAGGAACATGGTACCTCTGAGGGTGGAAAAAGAAAACTCAGTAGCTTTGAGGTCGAATTAGAAGAAAAGTTAAAGGCACCTGAGTTTAAATCAGTTGTTTCAGTTGAAAAGAATTCTCAACTAATGAAGGACCTTAGTAAGATCAAAGAAGAGCTGAACCATTCCTTGAAATGGATTGATTTGTCTAAGATCCTTTCAAACTTAGCTAATCAGAAGTTCAACAACCAAAATGGCTTAGGTTTTAGATAGATAGAGCCTCCCTACAATCCTCACAGTAAATATGTCTTTGTCTCTGACAATCTTCTGTGTACCCATTGTGGAAGAAATGGTTATCTGAAGAAAAATTGTGAGTCTCTAAAAAGATTAAAAGAGAATCAGGAGAACTTTCTCAAGTCGAGAAAAGGAAATGTAGAAACAAAAAAGGCACCTGGTCCCAACTACCATTTTAGCATGAATACTTTTCCCCCATGGACAGGAAGGTTTCTTATTAAACCTTTTGATAGTTTTTGGGAACTCCATCTCAAGTGGGTTCCTAAGTCTAATAAGTGATTCTTGTGCAGAAGAGAGGAAGCAGTCAGTTCTGGTACATGGACAGTGGATGCTCAAGGCATATGACTGGAGACACTCAAAACTTCTCTCTTTGGAAGCACACCAGGGCAGTGGTATGTCGTTTGGTGATGAGAAAAAGGGTTTCATTCTCGGAATTGGGAAAATAGGAAGATCAACAGAACATTCCATAGACAATGTTCATTATGTGAATGGTTTGAAATACAATCTGTTAAGTGTATCTCAAATCTGCGATAAGGGAAATGAAGTTAAATTCTTGTCTGACAGGTGCCTAGTTACTAACTATGTAACTAACAAAGTTGTTATGTCTGCCAAAAGAGTAAAAAATATGGATGTTGCAGATCTTGACTTAATAGAAGGGGAAAATCTCACATGTCTTAGCACTCAGACTGACAATGCAAATCTATGGCATAGACTATTGGGACATGTGAGCTCATCCTTGTTGAACAAGCATGTTGCAGGGGACCTGGTCCGCGGACTGCTTAAGCTGAAGTTTTCTGACAACAGTCTGTGAAGCCTGTGTAAAAGGGACACAAACAAGATCATATTTCAATCCCAAGAAAGGTGTAAGCACAACCAGACCACTAGAACTTATCTACATAGATCTATGTGGACCAGTCAGAATTCAAAGCAGAGGAGGCAAGAAGTACATTCTGGTAATTGTTGATGATTTCTCAAGGTTCACCTGGAACATGTTTTTGTGGACCAAAGACGAGACAACTGGATTACTGGTCACTTTTGCCAAAGCTATTCAACTGAAGATCAACTGCAAGATTGCAAGCATTATATCAGACCACTGTACAGAGTTTGAAAATACTCAAATTGAAGGCTTTTGTGCTGAAAATGGAATTCATCACAACTTCTCTGCACCAAGAACGCCTAAAAAAATGGGGTTGTGGAGAGGAAGAACAGGACCTTGGTGGATTTTGCTAGAACCATGTTGATTGACTCAGGACTTGCAGTGAACTTTTGGGCAGAAACAGTCAACACAACTTGCTATGTTACAAACATGAGTTGCTGAATAACAAGAAACCGTCAATTGCTCATCTGAAGCCCTTTGGTTGCAAATGCTTCGTATTGATCAATGGAAATGATGATTTTGGCAAGTTTGATGCTAGGAGTGATGAAAGGGTGTTTATTGGGTATTCTTCTACCAGCAAGCCATATAGAGTTTTCAATAAAAGAATTATGTGTGTTTGAAGAAAGTATGCATGTGATATTTGATGAATCTGATGATAAGAACAAAGATGAACATAATAAATACATTGAATTGGAGGAACTGATGAATGGTCAACAAGACAAGGTAATCCAAACTCTTGGAAGTGAACAGATTTCAAAGGATGGAAATGGTGCAGAATTCACAGAGGAACCTGGTCCCTCCGGTGCAACTCAAGAGGGGGAATATTAGAACAAAGAGCCTGAAGAAGATGAATCTATTGCTGATCTTGAAGAGGAGATAACTAGAAACTCCGGATGGAAACATCAATCTTCTCATCCTCTTGATAATCTTGTTTCTCCACTTGACTTTGGAATACAAACTAAATTCAAAACAAGAAATCTAGTTGCATATTCAGCCTTCATATCCACCATTGAACCCAAGAACATCAAGGAAGCTTTAAAGGAAGCTGATTGGGTAACATCAATGCCGAAATAACTTCATCAGTTTGAGGGAAGCAAGGTATGACACCTGGTCCCCAGACCTCTCAATAGAACCATTAGCAGGACTAGATGGGTTTTCAGAAACAAACTTGATGAGCATGGAATCATCACCAGAAAAAAGTCAAGACTAGTGGTACAAGGATATAATCAAGAGGAAGGGATTGACTATGATGAGACCTTTGCTCCTGTAGCCAAAATGGAAGGCATCATAATTTTAATAGCCATTGCTGCCTACATGGAGTTCAAACTGTTTCAAATGGACGTTAAAAGTGCCTTCCTGAATGGGTATCTGAAGGAGGAGGTGTATGTTAACCAACCTCCAAGTTTTGAAGATGTTGATCTACTAAACCATGTGCTGAATCTAGACAAAGCCCTGTATGGTCTAAAGCAAGCTCCCAGAGCTTGGTATGAGCGTCTGTCAAAATTCCTTCTAGCAAACGGTCAAGAGAGGTAAACTTGATAATACTCTATTCTTAAAGTCCAGAAGTAAGGAGTTGTTAATTGTGCAGGTATATGTAGATGATATTATATTTGGAGCTACTTCATATTCACTATGCAAAGAGTTTGAAGACCTGATGAGTAGTGAATTTGAAATGAGCATGATGGGGGAGCTTACATTCTTCTTGGGGCTGCAAATCAAACAGTCCCTTCAGGGTACATCACTATGCCAAGAGAAGTACAGAAAAGATTGCTCAATAAATTCAACATGCTTGAGGCAAAAGTTCTTGACACCCCCATGAGCATAAGTGTCAAACTTGATATGGATGAAGAAGGGATTGATGTGAATCAGACCATGTACATGGGAATCATTGGGTCACTTGTCTATCTTACTACAAGCAGGCCATACATAGTTTTCAGCGTAAGGATGTGTGCCAGGTTCCAAGAAGAACCAAAGGAATCACACTTGAAGGCAGCCAAGAGAATATTGAGATACTTGAAGGGAACACAGGACCTAGTCCTCTTCTACCCCTCTGGTGACTCATTTGATCTAATTAGTTATGCTGATGCTGACTATGCAGGTTTTCTTGTTGATCGAAAAAGCACTTCAGACATGTCACATTTTTTAGGATCATCACTGATTTCGTGGGGCACCAAGAAGCAAAATTCAGTGGCTTTATCTACTGCAGAAGCAGAATATGTGGTTGCTTCATCATGCTGTGCTCAACTTTTGTGGATCAAGCAGCAGCTCGAAGACTTTGGTGTTCTCACAGACATTATTCCTCTAATATGCAACAATACTAGTACAATGAACATGGCCAAAAATCCTGTGCAGCATAAGAGGACCAAACATATAGATGTGAGACACCACTTTCTCAAGGACAATGTTGAGAAGATCAAGTGGCTGATATTTTCACCAAGGTATTGAGCAAGCAAAATTTTGTCAAGAATAGACTGAATCTGGGGATGCACAAGATCACCTGATTCCATAACAAGCTTACATGAAACCTCTCTGTTGACTATGCTAGAGAGGGCAGGTATCTATACATGTTGTATTGCTTATCGTTCGTGAATTCACATTTGGGACCTTACTGCAGGTACACACTTATGGCATGTCAGTTGTAGGGAAGATCTAACCATACAAACAAGGTTATCTATAGAGAGGGACTTGGTCCTCCAAATGTTAGTATCACTTTATGCTACACAATTTTCTGTCAACGGTCACTACCACGTGTCTTTCCCCCATTGATTGTGTCAGTTTCATACGTCTTTTCACTTTAAAACCAAGAGTCACTAATGTTCAGGGACCCGATACCCCGTTAAATACAACCTCTTGAGTGAATCCAAACATCCTAAATTCTTTCTATTCTCCTTTTGAATTCTCTCTTCGTTCTTCAAATCCTCTATCCTCTCTAAAAATGACTAACTCTTCTTCTTCTTCGAAACTCCCTCTCTCCCAAGAAATTGAAACTCCAGTTCATTCAATTTATCAATTCCTCCCCCAGAAGAATCCCCGTTTACACCAGTATGTGGGGTTGATGAGACTGCTGACTCCGTCACACTCCATCTGAAGTGATGGCGTCTCCTGCACTCAACTCTAGGGAAATCTTGCCTTGTTCTCCAACTTTAGTTCTATCCGGTGAGAAATCCTAAAATTCTGGGGCCCAGTCAGTTGTGAAGCCCAGTCTTGAGACAACAACTGAAGATTTAGAAGTTGTGTCTAGGGCTGTGTCATCTACCATGTTTGAGCAGTTGTTTGAAGAAGATCTGCCTAAGGGAAAGGGTACATAGTCCAATATCTTAACAGCAGTGGAGGAATTGGTGGTAGTTCAAATCTTGGCCTCTCTTATAGGAGACATTCAACCAACTCTGTTGGATCAAGAGTTAAGATCACCGGAGCAGGTTCCTCATAGTACTCAACCTGTGTTTGACCAAAATCCAAAATCATTTTATGTTGACACTGAGGAAGAAGAGGAAGAAGAAACTCAGTTGGTTTGGCGGAGAAAAGGGGTTCGAGGGCTAATGCTGTGAATCTGACAGTTTCTGATCTTGAAACAATTGTTGTTGTAGCTGAGACTAAAATTGATGATGAGCCCACTGAGTCTGAAAGGAAAAGAAAGAGAAAAGGAAAAGGAAAAATGGTAGATTATCAGAACAAAGGAGGAAGAAAAAGGAGATATATGACCAGAGGTGAGACTCAGAAATTAATGGGAGATTCCTTAGCGGCAAATGAAGTACAAACAGAAAGAAATCGGAGACAAAGAAGGGAAGGCCATGTGCCTAATGAGGAACCTACCTCAACACCTCTCCATGTAGGGTTAAGTGAGACGGAGTTTGACGATATTGTCAAAGTTGTGGCAAGACGGAAGGAGGAGGCAAAAGTTGAATGTGTCAAAGCTAAATGGGGTCCTAAGTCAGTAAAGAGATCACCGGTGAAGATGGATAAAGTGAATAAAAGGGCTCTTGTGAAACTAAAACCCGTAAAGGGACCAGGTCCTTCTGTTCAGAAGCCAGTAGAGGAAAATGTGTTGACCAGGGAAGAGCACATTGTATAAATGGAGAAACAAAAGGTGCTGCATGGGAGAGTATTCGATCCAGAAATTCTCACAGAATTTAATATGTCTACTCTTTTTGATTCTGTAACTCTGCAAAGCTGGGAACACTTGTTTGAAGCTCCAGTACCTTACTTGCAAGAATCAGAGGTGCGTGAATCTATTACACATGGAGCTTCTAAGTGATGGAGGGATTACGACAACAGTTAGAGGGGCCAAAATCTCTCTGAATGAAGAAATCTTGGGCATTATTTTGAGTATACCTGTTGAAGGGATCTGGTCCATTGAAGGCTACAAACCCTCTGGTGAGTTTGCCCAACAGGCTACCAAGAGTGGGGAAATCAAACGCGCAGGGCTGCCTAAGAAATTCCTCAAAGGAGAGTATCAGTTGATATTTGAGTTCATCAACAAGGTCTTGGTACCAAGGACTGAGAAGAGAACTGTAGCATCTAGTGATTTGTTTCTCATGGAAAAATTGGATGAACTTGAGGCCATCAATTTTCCTGCAATCATGCTCGAACACATTCACAGGGTGATGACTTGGAAGACTGCCAAACACATCATACCTTATGGATATCTGTTGAACGATGTGTTCAAACACTTTGAAGTACCTCTTGGAAGAGGAGTACCCGGTACTGTCAAGCAGATGTTCTCCGTTGCAACCCTCTTGGAATGTGAATGTGTTGAGAGTAAGGCGAAGGGTAGGTCCCATGTGTCCGATCTTCTTGAGCATCAAGCATCTCTACGGCGGGAGTTGACTGATCTTACAATAACCCTAAATGCCAAGGAGGGTGAGATTGCACAGCTTAAAGCTCAGATATAACAGGCTATTTCCAAGGGACCTGGTACCAGTTCAGTGGATAAGGAGGAAGTAGAAAGGTTGAGAGCTGAGAACGCGCAACTGCTGAAGAAAAATGCCTCACTCATAGAGGAGGTCCAAGCTCTTAACAAGAAAACCATTCAAGCTCATGTCGATTCTAATGAGCGCATGACTTTGCTGTTGAAGTCCCTCACTCCCCTTCCCCCTCCATCCTAAATGTGTCATGTGTCCCTGTCCTCCAGTCTATCTATCTTACTCTAGTGGCAAAGTGTACTGGTTTGGCTGACTTTTGTGCTCAACTAAGTGACCTAATAATATTGTCTCTTTTGCCTTGTCTCATATGCTTTTATCTTCTCTATTTTCTACTTACTTGTGCTTGTACTGTGTGACCCATGGCCTTGAATTCCTAACGTTTGGCATGCAGCCTGCATATGTTTACTGCTACTCCTTTTTAATGATGTCAAAAAGGGGAATT